CATCAGGTTTACTTTTATGCAAAATGCTAACTTAGTTTATTTGCTGCTGCAATTTTTTTTTTTTGTTCTTAAAAGTTTTTTCAAATGACATGTTGTCTCTTCAGATGGGTGTCCAAGGATGGAATTGGAGCTCTTGGGCGTCTTCTTATTGGTAGGGAAACCATGAGAAGATTAATAAATGTTCTTGGAGTTATCTAAGAACCTCTTCAGTAAGGAGGCTATGTTTTCCAGGTGGACGTTTCGGTAGTCTTTTTGACGATGACCCTAAGCAATGGCGCATGTACGCAGATTTTATTGGCAGTGCTGGAAGGTTTGTAGTAGAGGATTTGAACTCTTGGTGAGCCATATTTGGTTAAATCTATGTACAGCATCAAACTGCGTTTTGTTTCTGTTTCGCAGCTTCTTTGATCTGGCGACGCAACTATATCCAACCCAGTTCCTACTGTTAGCATCCACGGGAAATCTTGCCAAGGTAGTCCTGCTTGCAGATTCCTTTTTCCTGCCAGTTGCAAATCCTTGATTCAATTGACTTTATTAAGAATTCGCTTTGACTAAGCTTTAAATGATAGAGTGCACATACTAATTACTAATATTTCAATTTGAAAATAGGCTGTGGCTAGAGGATTGAGAGACCCTTCATTCAGGGTGATTCAGAATCATTTTGCCATCTCAGGAAATCTTGGAGAGGTAGCAGCCAAGGTATGCTAGTCATGTGTAATCAAAACCCAATTACGCGCATAGAGTAGCTATGAGCAAAGTCTCTAATTTGTGTTCAATATCTCAGGAAGAAGTGTGGGAAGTTGCTGCTCAGCTAATTGGTCTTGGATTCGGCATTCTGATCATTGTATGTTGGAATTTTTTTTTCAAATCTATTCATTAGAAGTCCCCATTGGATCTCGTGACAATCATTTTGTTGGTTTCACGTTGAGCGTTTGTATACTATAATCTTGATGCAGGACACACCGGGCCTTGTAAAGTCATTTCCCTTTGTGTCACTTACATGGACAAGTGTAAGACTTGTTCATCTCTGGCTACGCTACCAGTCCCTTGCAGTCCTACAATTTAAAACGGTAAGAGTTTGAAATGGATTTTCTTACAATTCAAACATGAGGAAACTCAGATAAATGATTATTCGATTTGAAATACTCGCAGGTAAATCTCAAGCGTGCTCATATCCTAGTAGAATCTCATGTTGTGCACTCCATTGTACCAGGTAAGAATGTTTCTCCCTTTTTCCAGCTTGTTTTTCACCCTTTAACTGAGACCCATCTTTCTCTCTTTTCAGGATGTGTTGACGGTAACAAGCGAGAAAACATTTTATTGTGGCAGAGATTCATGAAACCTCGGATCATCTTTGGTGTGTCACTTGAGGAAGTATCTGGTCCGGAGAAATCTGTTTCTAAGGTAATCTTCTCCTTTCATTTTGACCGCATCAATATATACTCTTGAGAGTATCTTCTATTTGCTGCATGTCCAAGTTTTTGAAGCCTTGAGTTTTTCAGGTCAAAGCACTCCTTAAGATATACACAACGGAGAAATATATTTTAACTATGAATAAGTTGGGCAAGGATACCGAGTTTTCTGTATCCTTTAAGGTATGTACGTGATCCTATAACAAGACTTATCCGCTTCTCATTCTACTCCCAAACACCATACTTGCACTGTGAGAAAGGCACTCAAGTAACGTGCTAGAGATTCATTGGTGGGTAATTAATTTGAAGCATATTACGTTAGGAATTAGAAGAGATCATAGAGCTGATTGACAGCTTGGTTCTTATTATTTGAATACTATACTTAAGAAGCATATGAGATAGGGAGCTACTTTTCAGAATTATCGGCTTAATCGAGGGGACTAGAGTCTACCTTCTTGGAGAGTACTCTCGGTTATCTTTGGGACTATAGTCGATATTTTGTTGTATTATCAGTAAAGGGTTACATGCTCTTATTATCTCTGGACCCTTTATTCTCTTTTTATCATTTGTCGTTTAAAAGTACCTTACTTTACATTATGTTTGGGTTACTTCACCTACCATTTTACACATTCTTTTTACTTTTATTTCATCTCTGTAAAACTAATGATGCAGGTGAATGCCACAAGCAGAGACGTGTTGAGATGTCTTTGGCAAGCATATTGGTTACACGAGAACATGGAACAAAGCTTTAAAGACAAAGATAGTGTGTTCCAGTGGCTGAAGCAAAGCTTGTCGGAGATGGACAATAAGTTTGATGATTTCTTGTTCAAGTTGGATACTGCTGGATGGAATCTACGTGATTCTAACTTGAAGATTCCCAGCCATATCCTCGTCGACCACGGATCTATGACCACTCTCTAACATTTCGATTCATCGATTGAGAATCTTCAGACCGATCATGCAATCGCATGAACAAAAGAAAATAAAACACTTGAGGTAAATAATACCAAACCCTGTCAATTTGAATATGGAGTAATCTATTCTTTATTATCTTAAGCATCAAATGAAGTGAACTCTAGGTGATTTATAGAATATGAAAGTTTGGTATAGCTAATACTAATTAGTTAGGATATATCAGGCTTTGTATGGCAACTTGTATTATTGTATGACATGATGATCCATCATCCATATAAATTAAGAGGAAAAAGTATAATAACGGGGAATTAGCAAATACTAACAAAAAAATTATAATTGGGTAAATAATCATTTTAATAGAGGTGCTATAATATTTTGTATGTAATATGACGATTCTATCCTAAATTGTTCACGCTCACTTTTTTTTTGTTTCTTCACAACTCTCTCTCCCTCCATTAAACTCTCTCTCACAAATTTCTTCACAAAATTGTTCACAACAAAATTCTCATTATTTTTTATACTGAAAATAGAATATACTTATAGACTTGTAATATGTGTAAATAAATTAGTCTAGGTTAAAATAGTCAAAATATTGGTCAATTGGTTACTTGGTTAATTTCAAAATAATTATGGCTATATTCTTCGTTAAGTAACTCAATATTGTCATCTCACAAATTGACACTTGAAAAATATCTAAAAAAAGATAGTGTGGATATGTGACCAAAAAAAAAAAGGTAGTGTGGATAAAGAGACAAATGGTGAGGTTTTAGGCCAATCAATGATAGAGAATGATTGTGATTATGCTTCCTTTGTTTGTACTTGAATCGTCACCATTTTTGTGCTTGTTGCCTTTATTTTAGAATTTAAAGGTGGCCTTCCGGAATTTAAAAAAACAAAAAGATAACAAC